CGCTTGACTCAATTATCTATATCTTCAATCTATCTGCATGTCTCTGCAATCTATCTGTCTATGTAATTCCGCTGGTTTTTCCCGCCAGGCTTATATACTAAAAAAGAGGGCGCTTCGAACAAACTAGAGTTGCCAGGAAAATTCATGATTATTCCAGAAACTCCAGCGCGCATGTTCCCAGCATCGCGTGACTTCCGCTGTCGTAAAACAACCAACCTGTACCAAATTATGTTGACACAATCTAACAGAATATTAATAACATCCTAATAATGTATTTAGATTTTGAGGGCATTATTTGGTACAAATACTGAATTATGAGATGTTGAATAAATTTCAAAATGTTTATGTTCTTTTGTTTCTTTAATCACTAAAATAGGCCTGGCATATCCTGTTGGTTAGGGCGCTCGACTCGCAATCTTCGGGTTGCGGGTTCGAATCACCGTTTCCAAACTTGTTAACCTTTTCAATCGTGAGAGCGTTATAATGCGACGGTCAATATAACTATTCCTTAGTAAAATAGTTGGCGGTAGGTGGTGTTGAATAGCTGCCTTTCCTCTTGTCTACCACTGCTAAATTAGAGATGGCTAGCATAGATAGCCATCGAGTAGCTTTTCGCGAAATTGAAAACAAACAAAGCACCAAAGCTGTAGATGCCACAAATACAATTACGTCTTCTTCTTTATCGCGTAGTTTCACTGCTTTTGGTCCCCTAGTGGGACATCTGTAAGTCTACAGACTTACAACGCTAAAATCTGGGGTTTGATTCCCATCGATGGACACAGCATATAGCCTAGTGTGATTTTGCAATAAAAAAACAACAAACACTACCTTTGTATTTTAATGTATATGTTATACTTTAGGTATAGACGTTTTTCAAGTTCGATTCTTTACATAAGGAATAGTAAAGTAAAAGAAAAACTTTTGTTACCTCACGAATATTATTTTTTTTAAATATCTGTTTGTCTTATTATTAGTACATTTTCAAAACTAGCACATTAAAAAAGGAAGTTAATTATGATTATTATATTGCTCCCTTGAAATTGCCCTTACCTCTACTCTGGTGTCATATTTGGGTAAAAATATAAGATTTGTAACTTTTACAGTCAGTCTCTGATGAAGTTTGTTTGTGAGTTTGCGAAAAGTTACACAAGAGCCATCTGCGCTAACCGTTTCTTTCTTTCTTCTTCTTCTTCTTCTACTTTTCTTTTTTGAATTGATGGACTAGAGGGAAGGCATGCAGCTAGTCAATAGTACTCATCTTCAATTTTATACTACTCTAGAGGCATGTACAAGAGGGTAAGCAAATGCCCGTGCCCTCTCAAAAACTCCATGTGTACGGACTCGGATATTTTGCCAAGTGTAATGCTGTTTATTTCTATGCATATGAAGTACGTGTGTTTAACTTGCTCTACCATTAGCGATAAAATTTACATTCTTGCGCACGGTGATAGGGTACTCTAATTGAATAATGGGAATTGATCGACTCTTATAACGCACAAACGGCCCGAAGTGCGATTTTGTTGCAACAGGACGCATCAAGAACCTTCGAAGTTGACCACGCCCTGCCCCACTTGAGAAGAAAAGTTTGTTTGTTTGTTTTTGAATTTCGCGCAAAGCTACACGAGGGCTATCTGCGCTAGCCATCCCTAATTTAGGAGTGAAAGACTAGAGGGAAGACAGCTAGTCATCACCACCCACCGCCAACTCTTTTACCAATGACTATTGGGATTGACCGTTACACTATAACGCCACCACGGCTGAAAGGGCGAGCACATTTGGTGGGACGGAGATTTGAATCCGCGACCCTCAGATTGCGAGTCGAGCACTCTAACCACGTGGCCATGCCGGGCGAGAAGAAAAGATATAAACTCTGAAAAGTTCCGGATTACCGTTCTCCTTCTTCTCTCCACCCCCCCCCATCTTACATATTTCACAAGTAACACGAACATATAGATTTACTCATTAAAATGTTAAATGTTATCAGAAAACAGCATAAATACGTAATATCTTCAACATTTATGAATTAAGAAGATAGTCCAATTTTCTGTTAAAACATGCACTGTGTTCTCTGCATAAAATAATTTTCATCATGCTTATAAATCGTTGTTTGCCATTTTCTTATTGTTAACCATACGCATTACGTGAAGACACTTACGTTTCTATAGTATCACTGTTGGGTTCACCGATAGCAATTCTGGGCCCCCATTTTTAAATATGTATATATTGTTGCGTCTCCGTTCGTTAGTTAATTTTCCGTAAATTCGTTCTGACGAAACTTTAGCGACACAAGTCCTTTCTTAAATAAAACTGGTTTATTCTTTCTGAATATAACTTTGCGATACACTTAATTTCAACTGTCGCGCTATAACAAACGTCTCACGTGCTCGACTTCAACAATACTCAGTTCAATTGCACACTCACTGACTGCAGTTCAATTACTCATTACCTTGTTCCGTCACGTTGTGAGCGTCTTATGTATACCAGACTACCCCCAATCTAGTAGACTCCCGATACTTCATGAAGGTTCGAGAAGGACGTGGCATGATACTAGTCACGTGACCTCGCTGACGCAACACTGCCCCCTCCTTAGTATTGTTCGTCCCGAACAATAGACACTTACAATAAACTAATAACAATTTAACAATAACTTAATTAAATATACAGAATTACAAACACAAAATTACAATTCAACAAAGTCTCTTAATTCTACGGGACGTATCTTCTTCCGTACTGGTCTCTGTCTCATTGGCTTCTGCTTCACGTGGGGTTCATCTGCTTCATCAGGAAATGTCCTATCGTCAGTAACAGTCATATCAGTGGTAGTAACTTCATCAAGAGCTTCACCGTTTCTCTTCTCAAAACTGAGTAGTTTCTTCTTCAACATT